GAAACTTTGGAATATTACTAATTTTGTGATGCTCTTTCAAGCTGTGATGAAATTTTTGTCTAGATCAAAATTTAGTCTATAATGCAAATGGTCTATTGGCAGTCGCAAATTGTTAAGTCCGGATCAACGAGGATGACAGTACATGAGAGTCGACTGTCCTTAATGCTTTCCCAACACTGTCATGTATTCTATGTTGGAACGTATAGCTGGAACCCTAATGAAACCCTTATTTTGTTAATCTAGTCCTAGAGCTCGAGATGTCCCCCGTAACAGTGCCAGCCAATGCGTAACTGCCAAACTCTCATCAACTCTCAAGCTCTAGATTAAAAAAAATTACGAGCGTCCCAACTACGTGTATGATCGATATAGTGTTGGGAAAACATTGAAAAAAAGCTAACCAAGTTCAAGGCCGTATAGTATAACTGCTGGGCTTACGCGCTTTTCAACGAATGACGAGAGTTGATGAAAGTTGGCAAGCGATAGTTTGCACGAGAGTTTTCTCAATTCTCATGCTAAAACGAGAAGAATTGCATGATTCACAGTTGACGAGAGTATATAGACTGGTCAAACGAGCAAAAACTCGCATGAGCCGTCAACAAAGTCGACGAGTGCCAGGTCATTGCGAGTGTGCCCCGGCACCACGCGCTTACGTCAAATCTTACTGGCATTTGCGTTATTTGTCTCTTGCTTGCGTAGCTTTATACTAGAATAGCCAGACACTTGCGAATTTGCTCGAGTGCACACCAAGTGTTACAGTATGCTCGCGGTTGACAATAGTCATTGACATTGAACTTGTACCATTGAAGAGGGCCCCCTATACCTCTTCACAATATGCTTTCACGTAAAAATATTTTGCCTTTTCACGAGTCACGGATTAAGAAAATCATCGATCACGTTTCACGGCTAAGTAAAATAAGCCCTTCACGCTTCACGCAAAAAGTATAGGGGGCCTGATCACGTTTCACGGCTAAGTAAAACAAGCCCTTCACGCTTCACGCAAAAAGTATAGGGGGCCCTCATTGAAATACGGAAACCGTCAGTCCTCTCTCCTCCGCAGAGAATTGTTCTTCGGACATCTTCGGACAGCTCTCGGAGTTAATCGGGATTGGCGCTTTCTGGACAAAAATAATCAGCAATCGGTCTCCTGTATCTATGTCAGCAACATATCCTGATTTACTCCAAAAGCTGCCCGAAGAAGTCCGAAGAACAATTAGTAACCTCTGCGGAGGAGAGGGCTGAATGCACCTGCGATTAGGTTGTGCGGCGGGTGGGACGCCTTGCGGGCGGAGCAGCTGCGATACAGCTAGATAAACGCTTACGACGACAATTAGCGGTCGTAGGGCTGATTCATTCGATGTTATCACGTAAACCTAAACATTTATATATCTTAGCTTGTACGCACTGTTTGCGGCATAAGCAAAATAACATTGCATGTTAACAAGCAAACATAAGAAATGACTGGACGATTAATTTGCAAAACAACGAATATGGGAAAACATTGATACTTTAAAAATTACGAAATGTTGAACAACCATTAGAATATGGGAAAACATTGATACTTTAAAAATTACGAAATGTTGAACAACCGCAAGAAAATGCGAACGGAAAAAAGAAAATATTTAATCAAATTATAAGAGTAAAGTGTTTCGATTTCAGAGAAACGTACAACAGACAATATTTTCTTTTGTGCATCAGACTTATAGTTATAGTTGCTTAGTACAGACTACAGTTGTGTTATTTATTTTATTCCACTATCAATGGACACTTTAGTATATATACGTACTATTTTCAAATCAGGCATTAAAATAAGGATTTTTACAAGGACACAAAACTCTCGATAGACTTCAGTTAACATTTCTAGTCCCTTTTGTTTGGGGCAGCCATTTTAAACAGCAGCGTATGGGAAGTTCAGTAATTTCGGGGGAGTGGGACAAGTAAAGACTGTCATTAGGCCACGCTTTTTTTTGTTGGATTGCGGTTTTCCCACCTTGTATTTTTAAAAAGCAGAAAAAAATATAAACGCCGCTTATCAGTTTTGATGGGTAGTTTTCTTTTCATCCAACCATATTTTAGAAAGTATTGCCTGTATTGGTATTTATTTTCCCAGCAAGACACCCAAAAATATAAAATGTGCGAGAATAATGTCAGGCTGCCTGTGCAGGCTAAACTTTCAACACGCAATTGTCACGTGATCACGCCATGCACGTGAACGTGAAACATGGCCGAACGAGGAGATATTTACTTCGCTGTACTCGTTGACTTTGGATGTACATGTCACTGTACGTGTGGTATTATAGATATTAGACAATTCTTTCTTTTTTCTTTCAGTATTTTTTGCCCTCCCGCCCTTTAATATTTGCGAGCAAAATCCGTAATCCAACAAAAAAAGCATGGCCTTATAATGCCATAGAATATTCTGGAATCCAAACTCTCTGGCATGGCGATTTTATCCGATTTCGACTGCTCTTGCGTAAAACATTAGACAGTTTGTCAACAATAAAGGATAATACTCGATTTATAAACTCGAACGGTACAAACACCAGAGAAATGTATAAATGGATTTTCCTTCTACATTTCTAATGATTGAGCTCACAAAGATTGAATCGCGAGATGATATGTCAATTGTGTCAATTGTGTACACAGTATATCAAAACGTTTTTACCCGGTCTTGTCAGAAACACACATTTCAATTTACAAGTGTGTCAAAATACGCTTATTTAATGCCCGTTTCAAGTGACTGAACGACATATGTTTCGGTCATTGTGGAATTCAATTATGTTAAAGTAATTCGATTACAAAATCGTTCTGGGGAATTTAAAAACCATTTGGTTGATTTTAGTCTCGGATTCGAGAACCAACTGTTTGACGATTTACCGTAAATATACACGGCAGCTAAATCAATTATGATTTATCTTTTCTTCTGAAACCACAAAACCTCAACGTCACGTCTACGCGTATAGCAGACGACTGCTCCGCGCGTAAAAATGCCACAGCTTGTCAACTACTTCTTCCCAGTTGTTGGAAGTCCGAAACAAGTTGTTACCAATTTGTAACAAGGTTGATGAGGCCAACAGACTCGCAACGAAGTTGTCTGATATCTGCACGTAACAAGTTGTGAACAAGTTGATGACAACAAGCTCGTAGCAACTCGATACGAACAGCCTGTATTAGTCTTGTTGGAACAACTTGTAGCAAGTCTGTTACCGTCATCAACCTTGTAAACAAGGTGATATAACAACTTGTTACAGATTTGTCACAACAACTGGGAACAAGCAGTGCGAACACATCCCGATATCGGTTTGACAACAAGCTCGTTACAACTTGTTACAGCGTTGTAACACTGTAACATGCTACGATCTACAGTAAATCCTGGCTTCCATATGATCGTAACGGTCGTAAAGATTGAGTCACGATCTTTCTCATCAGTCGAATTACAATATTTTAGAACTGAACATACGCGGAGTGATTATAACTGGAGAATACTTATGACTTATATGTGGTTTACAGGTATATAAACTATTATAAACTGGGCGCTGAGAAAGATCGTGACCGTCTATATTTTTACGACCTTTACGATTTACGACCATATGGAGACCAGGCTTAAGTAATAGGGACGTAATCGCGCCAAGGTTTTGAAATTGTGTGTAGCAAACTTCAGAGGACAATCATGATTGAAAAAGCCAAT